TACACACCTGAGCGAGCCAGAGCACACCTGAACCTCGGCACACTTGTGTCAGAACACACCTGAGCCAGGGCACATCTGTCGGTACACACCTGAGCAAGCCAGAGCACACTTGAACCTCGGCACACTTGTGTCAGAGCACTCGTGAGCCAGGGCACACCTGAGCCAGGGCACACCTGAGCCAGCATACAGTGCCTCCCTGTGGCCACACAGCATGCCTGAGTCTTCACTGCAGCTGGCATGGTGTCACTGACCAGTGCTGGCCTCTCTCAGGTTGCCCTTCAGTCTCAGAAGCTGCTTGGGAGGAATCGCCTGGTTCATAGATGATGATGCAGGCTCACAACTGATTACCTGACACCCTAGAGATCCCTGTACTGGGGTGAATAGTGTACCCCAAAATTCATATCGACCTAGAGCCTGTGAATGTGAACTTATTTGGAAATGGAGTCTTCGCAAGTGTAATCAAGTTAAGATGAGGTCTTACTGGATCAGGGTGGGCCCTAATCCAGTGACTGGTGTCCTTATAAGAGGAGGAAAATTTGGACACAGACACACAGGGAAGAAGGCACGTGACGGCGGAGCAGAGACTGAGCAATGCGCCTACAGGCCAAGGAGCATCAAGGACTGCCGGCAGCCCTGAGAAGCTGGAGGAGGCAGGAAGGATCTGCCCCTTGAGCTTCTGGAGGGACTGTGGCCCTGCCGACACCTTGATTTTGGATTCTGGCCTTCAGAACTGTGAAAGGACAAATACCTGTTGTCTTAAGCTCCTAGTTTGTAGTCAGTTGTTATGGCCACCCCAGGACACTAACTCATCCTTGAGAATACGGGTTCAGTGCGGACCAGCCCCTGGGTGTCCAGAGACTTGCCATGGGCTCAGACATCTGGAGGAAGCCGGGGTCAAAGGGCAGGGTCTGGGTTAACAGGATGGGGGTGGTCCACCAGGAAGGAGGGTGCATCTGGCCAAGGCCAAGTGGTGCTTTTCGGAGCATGGCGGTAACAGCCACACTTAGAGCTGAGCCCAGCAGAGGCCTGAGGGGCACCCAGCCCAGTGCGGCGAATGCCCGACCGGGCCGCAGACAGACGTGCCACTGCTCCGTCAAATGCTGGTCTTTATTCTCCAGAATAGAAAACAGCCTGCAGCCCAAAGCGACCACAGCTGGCAAAGAACATTCTTTAAAAAGCAAAACAAAACAAAAAAAATACCTATTTGGCTCCATAAATTTCCGTCGTAAGAAACAACTTCGAATGGTACCCAAGCTTTGCAAAGCCTGGTGTCAGGTATCCACTGTGGGCGATGGCCCCAGCACCCACCCCACACACCAGCCAAACGCGACGGTTTCAGATGCTTTTGAAAAACAGTATGAAATGGGACACAAAGGTATTTTAAGACACGGGAGTTTGTTTCCTACGGACATTTCTTTTTTTAAAAAATATATAATAACTTAGTTTGCATTTTACAGCATTTCCAATCAATCGTTCAGGGAGTCGTTGGCCGGGACCTTGTGGGGTCAGACGCAGTGTGTACCTCCGTAGCTTGAGCGCAGGGGTGTCCATCCTGATTCGAGCATCCATCGTGGCACCAGCAGTGGTCACTCCACGCCCATCTCACAGGGGTTCAGGCCCCTCTCCTCGGCATCCCTGTACATCCTTAGGAAGTCCTTAAAGCGTGGGGCGCAGCCGAGCCAGGCCTCCCCAAAGTGCATGTGGCCGGTGAAGAGGAACTCGCCGCGCCCGGGCCTCACGCCACACTCCAGCAGCGTTGTGACACGGCCCCGCCAGCCACCACCCTCCGGGGCGGGCTGGAAGACCCTGTTCTTCTGCCGGTAGAGCCGGCTCAGGTGCAGGTGGATGGCCGACTCCTGTTGCTCCAGTTCATGGGTCACCTCCTGGATGGAGCCTCGGACGACTGCAGAGGGAAGGAGATGGGGGTCAGCAGGGGTGCCCACCGCACAAACAGTACTTGTCCCCACTGGCAGCAGACGGGCATCGGAACTGGGAGCTGACCCTGAACTCTGCATTCCAGAAATTCTCATTAAAAAGTACAATTCACATGCATGAGACTGTCTAGTGGTCATCCCCACCACTCAAACTTTCTCAGGGGGAGAGAGCTTCTCCTACCAAGGGCCAGCCACATAAGTGAGGGAAAATAGAAGATACAAACCACATCGTGCGTCAGTTTTTCAAGTTAGAACAAGAAAAGTAACGGCAGCTAATACACAAGATCTGCCACAGTTCTGCATCAGGATCAGGGAGGAACGCTGAAGCTCGGAGGGGAGAAAGGTGACAGGAAGGCGGAGGGCAGAGTAGGCGTGGGGGACAGCTCAGGCCCCCGCTCGGGGACCCTGCCCAGCCCCTGATCCCCTGTATGCAGAGCAGAAAGCAGACAGGAGCCTGCGCCTACACCACATCACTGCCCTTGGAGCTCGGGGGCTCAGAGCCGCGTGCAGCACCACAGCAGCAACTCCAGCAAGCTCACACAGAGGGCTCCACCCTTCACCCGAGAGCGCTGAGCCAATACCACAAGCAGGTGGCTGAGTCCCTGACCTCAGCCCCAGCCCCACCAGGGCCTCGAACGCCTATTGTGGTGCCTGCGGGGACCCGGGCAAGGGTAGGGCTATGAGGTGAGGCTAGCACCGGGGACTTCAAGAGGGATGACCTCACATGCAGGGTGGTCACCTTAAATGGGAATCCCCAACTCTCTCCCTGCCGTGCGCAGGTCCCTTCCCCTGGGCTGGAGGTCACTCTGGTGTGCAGAAAGCAAAGCACTTTCCTATGATTATAGTCAGTGACGAGGGGACACCAAGTCCACTGAGGTCAGCAGTCTCCTCTCCCCAGAGAGTTTGGTGCCAGCCCCGGAAGGTTTTCCCAGGCCCACGAGGCAGGACCTGAGCACACTCACCGAAGTCACTGGTGCAGACGGCCAGGAGCACCTCCGTATCACTGCAGGGGCGGCACGGGGCTGCAGGAGAGAACAGGGTCAGCAAAGGTCGGGCGGGGCTGTCACACTCGACGACGTCCCGTGAGTGCTCTGATTGGGGGGTGTCCGCCCTGCGCCTCTGCAATCAAGGCACTGGAGAGCAGAGAACACAAGACCTTGGCCACATGGCTGGGGGTGACCAACACCAGGGGGCCCCAGGCCCCCGCGACACACGATGGGCGCACACCCCAACTGAGAGCGGGGCTTCCAGCTCATCCCCACTTAGCTCACCCATGCAGCTGTGCCGGACGAGCAAGAACTGGACTCACACACAAATCGCCCTTCAGTGCCCGTCACCAACGCAAAACCCACCCTCGTGGCCCCGAAGCCACATCCCTTACGCCAGCCTGGCCAGGAGCCGCCCTGCTCCGGCCTCTGCATCCACACCCCAAAATGCTGGGATCACCCACTCACACGTCGCCTGCTCCCCAGGGTCGCACCTGCCGCCGCGATTCCATAGTCTAGGCACTGCCTAGAGGGACCGACGAGGCCACAACTCCGCTAAAGGTGTCGGTGAACGTGACGGGTGCCTTCGCCCACTGTGGCCATGGGGCCCTCGTCCGAATGACACAAGCAGCCAGTTCGAGTTGGGGTCATCAGCCCAGCCCCTTCTCCAGACCCCAAACACCTCCACACGCCTTTCACTGCAAACCCAGGTCACAGAATCCCTCTGAGACCACCAAACCCAGGTGGGGCCAGCTTCCTCCAGCCAGACCAGGCCTCACACAGTGGACTTCCCCCGGCCCTCACCTGACGGCCTCTGACGGGCATGTGGACTGAGAAAGGCTGAGGGCTCCAGTGCCTCCCCAACGGTCCTCGGCGGTGGGTTTGGGAAATGATGATTCTATTATTCGGCTCTCATACTGCACGTTTTAAGGCCTCTACCTACTTCAAGTTTCTAGGTTTGGGCACCAACTCTCCTAACTCTACAGAAGCATTACATATGAAGTCCCACTGGGACATGTCTCTCCTCGGCCTTTCATGTTCTGAAGGCCCCAGAACGTCCCTTAGCGCTCACTCTGCCTGGACAAAGCTAACCCTGTCCGTATGCCTTGCGGGCTGCCCTCGCTGCTCCTGAACTGGGCTGATCTGTCACCTGCAGAGGGGCTGCCCGGACCCACTGGGAGCAGCAGTGACTCGGGGCCTCTCGGGCGGGCAGAGGAGCAGGAGCTGAGAGGCCTCCCGGGGCCCAGAACAGGTGTGGACCACGGGGCCCAGCGCAGGGGGTCAACAGAGGCCCCGGAGTTTGCAGGGTTACGGACAGCACGAGGTCTCCGTGGAACCATTGGGAGTGAACGTTGAGTGTCCGGAGCGCTGGCCCTGGTCATCCTGCCCCAGGCAGGGGTGGACCCGCATGTCCCTGTACAGCTCCGTGAGCGAGTGACTCACCGGCCCACCCACCGCCTGCGCGTCTATTACATTATCAGGAGCCACCGAACAAGAACAGCCCGTTGAAGGCGTCTGAAGTCAGGCCAGTCCCTGCAAGAGGCCCGGGCGCCTCCCCACTCCAGCTCCCAATCCTGGAGCCTTCTGCCCACCTGTGGACTATGTTCACGTGTGTCGACTCCCAGCCCTCTCCCCCGCTGGGGGCCTGCTGCCCACTCGGGGCCAGACAGAGGCCGCCGCACGTGGGGAGTGATGCGAAAGGGGACATACAGCACCGCGGGCGTCTGAGGGGCTCACGCTCCACCTGGAGGCGTGTTTTACCCTGACCTGTGTGCTGAGGGGCGCGTGGCAGAGTGAGACTTCCCATCCCGGCCAGCACCCCCAGGGCTCACGGGGTCGGAGGCCCAGCCTGGGGTCCTCCTGCGAGTGAGGGGCAGCCTCAGCAGCTGTCCTGAGAGAAGGCGGGTCAGCGAGCCAAGCACACGGTGAGCACAGCCTGTGGGGTCCCCTCACGGAGCAGCTCCTTCAGGAGGAGGAGGGGCCAGGCCACGTGGGGGTCCAAGCACAGGTGGACGGGAGGGGAGGGTCTGCACAAGCTCCTCAGGGGCAAGTCTCAGGCTCCGAGTCAGCTGAGTCAGCCACACAGCACCCACAAAAGCAGCAGTCGTGCAGCAACAGGCCCAGGCCCCACAGTGATGGGACCCGGCCTGCGCGTGTGTCTCCTGAGCCTAGAGCTTCGCCTTCTCTGTGGCCACAGGACCACGGGTGAGCTCGTCCTGGGCACCCAGCCCTAGCTCACACCCAGAAGGGCGGTCGGCAGCCTGCAGACCCTGCCGCCAGAAGCCTCAGTGAGCTGAGCTGAGACCATCGACAGCTGAGCTAATAAAGCACCACCCCGGAGACCTCCCTCTTTTATTCTGAGCTTTACGAAGCGTAGGTCACCTTCGTGGAAAATCCAGTCTGTGGATGCCAAGAGCAGCAATCTGGAAACAATTATTAATCGGAGTCGGGTTCGTAAAGGCTGTGGAATGCGCTGGTTTCGGACACGTCGCATTTCGTTTCCTTAAGGGGAAGATGGTGGGGGGCGGCCAACAGGCCGGGTGGAATCCTGGCCCAAGGTTCTTGGAGGGAGGAGGGCTGGGGTGTGGACATCTTAGAAAATGACTCTGGAATGTGCACAAAATGAACTGAATGGAGAAGAAAGAGCAGGGTCAAGGAGACCCGTGGGGGCTCCCGCAGGCACCCAGGTGAGGACAGCAGGTGCAGGCAGGAAGGGTGGGGGGCAGCACCCCTCGAGTCAGGCCCTCTGCACAGGAGGGGCAGCCCAAAGCCCAGGAGAGGTCTGCAGACAGGCATGCTGGTCCGGCAGGCGGGACAGCCTGAGTAAGGACGACTAGGAGGGACGTACACAATTTCCAAAGGGAAAACTGTGCGTGAGGACATCAAGGGGCCTTCGACACAGCCGGTGATGGGTGGCGGATGCCACGTTATAAGAGGGAGCAAACAGAAGGGAGGGGCAAGGGCTGAACTGGCCAGAACGTGGCCAGAGTGACGTGCAGCTGCCACTTAAGGCTCTTGAGCCTCCTCCAACTGTCACAACCACCACCGCATTCGCCCAGAACTCCAGGCCGCAGGCGGATATCGCCCTGAGACGACCCTGCCGGGAACTGGCCAGGGCTGGTCAGCGCAGGGGAGGCCCATCTCCCTGGAACTCTCGTCTCTCCAGCGTCTCCTCCTCACCAGCTCCCCAACCCCTCTTCCTGCTGAGGAAGCAGTGGAGGCCACACCCTTCCACCCCAAAAGTCCAGAGATGGGTAAGATGAAAAATAATTATGCAATAATTACTGTGGCCGGAGAAGCCACCGATGCAGGAAATGAAACAATCCTGGGGAAAAAATAGAGTTCTCTCCTTTTCTGTTTCCTGGAAATAACAGGGTTTCTTTTCCCTTCTTCTGAAGTTTGCTACTTATCCCCCACAGCATAGCAAGGGCCCCCCGCAACTCTCAGGTGCCGAGGGCTCCTCAGCAGGGCTCTGTGCCCATGGGGCCACCCTGCAGAGATCCCTCGGCCCAGCTCCTCAGAGCAAGTGTTACAGAGACAGGGAGATGAAGTGCATCAGAAACAGTGGGACCCACACCGCCCTCCCTCCACACGGCACCCCACGAGCCAGCGGTGGGAGTAACTTCTGTGCATCCATGGCCAACAAAAGGGCAGCGTCCTTCTGCCTGCCCCCGCCCCTCCCACCGTGGGTCTAAAACGCTAGACTTCCCCCCTCGCCTGCTCACAGGGGGCCTGCTCTGGGTGGCCTTCACATGCAGCCCAAACCCCAACCCCAGAGCGTGCATGTGGCCACACTGCTGAGCCCGCTACCTTGCCCCCTGAGCAGTAAAAGAACAGACTGGGGTCCGTCCTGGTGGCGTAGCAGTTAAGTTGGCACCAACCACTTCAGCGGCCCAGGGTTCACAGGTTTGGATCCCGGGCTTGGACTGCCTGACACAGCTTGTCAGGCCATGCTGTTGCGGCGTCCTGTACAAAGTGGAGGAAGATGGGCACGGATGTTAGCCCAGGGCCAATCTTCCTCAGCAAAAAGAAGAGGATTGGCAATGGATGTTAGCTCAGAGCTAATCTTCATCAACAGAAAAAAAAGAGAAAAAGAGAACAGACCAGAACCCAGGGCCCACCTGGGCTGCCCCAGCCAAAGGGAGGAGACAGGGTCTGTCTCTGTCTCCTAGAACCAGAGGGAGCGACCCCCTGCCCTCCTCCGCTGGCCAGTGCTGAGGACAGCCCCACAGAGCCCGGCCGGGTTCCACCACAAGGCCTCAGCACACGGTCCAGGCGTGGCCAGGGGAGTTATCCATCAGTTAGCTGCAATTGGCCACTTGCCCACCTTTTGTCTCCTGCCAGATTTTTTCAGTCCCAGTGGAAGAAGCGCCTGTGTTACTTGGGTGCCCTGGCAAGGCCCACGGAGGAGAAGGAGGGCACAGGGGAGCAGGCCCTGCCCCCCTGCTGTGTGGTGGCCGAATCCCAAGTCCCCCGGGGCTGGGGTCACCTCCCACTGCTCGCCCACCCGCCCCTCAGTCTGCACCTGTCAAGGAGCAGCCTGCTGCTCCATTCTGGCCTTCCCTCTGCTATCCGTGCATCTCGGTTTATCCGAGGAAGCTGATTATGCAACACGAATGGACGTGAGGCCAACATGCTTGCTATAAACACTCCCAGCGGAACCATCCAGAGCTGCGGCAGGCGGAGCAAGGCTCCCACACACCTCTCGTCCGGGATTCCAGCGCACGGAGCCTCTTTTCTCTCGAGTCAGCACCAACTAGAACGTGTGACTCACGAAGAGGCAGAGAGGCAGATGGCCGTCCCACTCCCCAGCAGCAGGGTCACCGGCTGCCCCAGGGCGTGTGACCCGAGACGAGCACACGTCCTGGGCTCCAGCTTCACTGAGGGCTCCTGCGGCTGCAGCCACAACAGGACAGAGCTGGGAGCCATGGGCTACCATCTGAGAGCCCGCCCAGCCCCAAGGATGTCACTGCTGCCAGACAGCCAGCACCGACATTCCACATGAGTACCCATTCCTTCAGTATTAAAGACTTACGGACCCATCCCCTGGTGACAGGCGAACACCCCCAGGAGAAGGGACGCACCAGCCTCCCCAAGCCCTGCTGCCCCTCATCTCACTCGGTGGGGCTGGGCCCCAGGGAGGGCGGGCACCTGTGCCCATTTCTGGTCCCAGCTCCCAGAGCCCCAGGTGCATCCGGGTCCCTGTCCCAAGTTCTGACAGTCGCTGCGTGTCTGTGCTGCCCCCAGCCAGCATCTCAGCCACTGGGCAGATGGATGCTCACAGCCCACCATCCAGGGGGTGCCCAGATCCCTGCGGGCCCCAGATTTAAACAGACCCTCCAGGGCCAGACGGGCATCTGTCAGGGAGCAACAAGGGAATCCCCAGCCAGCCCAACGTCCAGCCGCAGCCACTTGTCCCTTTTAGGGTCCCAGGAGCCGAGCACAGGCCGTGACCCAATGACCCACCCCCATCACACAGCACCTCCTCCCCACAGCCCCACAGGAACCCAGGGCAGCTCAGTTACCTACCCCATGGGCCGCTCCCAAGCCCCTCACTGCCCCGGCCTGGAAACACAGACCTGGGGCCCCAGGGGGACAGACCTTGCCCCAGGGGAGTGGGAGGAAACAAGCCGGGCTCCGAGTCACCCTGTGTTGTGACCGACACCGTCGACTTTCCACCAGAAACAGTCTGTGCAAACGCGAGAGATCCGGCGCACAGCGCTGAAACCCTGGTCACACCACAGCCTCAGCGCTTATAAGACTCTCTGGGCGCAAGTGGAACAGAGCTCAGGCCATGAGAGGACACATGACCGCAGCCCAGCGACGTTTTAGTCAGTCAAGGAATGTTAACAAGCTCCAACTATCTGCTCAGGCAGCCGGCTATCACCACAGTCAGAAACACCAAATGTGGGGACTGGCTTTTTCCAGATTTTGTTTTAATTGCGAGTTTCTCTCAGAGCGAGGCTGGGGTACCCTCCCCCAGCTCTCCCACCCATCCTAATCGCTGGTGATCAAAATAAAGCCTGCTGCGGTTAAAGTTTTATTCAGCTCCTGGGGTTTACAGCAGCTTCCAGTGCTACATTCCTCAGTGGGGACCCAACTGGGCAGTCAGCAGCAGGGCCCACCTGGGCAGTGCCACGCTGGAGCTCTCTAACAGACCAGTTCAGTGGGAGAGAAATTTAAGGTTTGGAAAACCGACCTGAGCCAAGAACGCAGAACAATAAAATGTAGATTCACATTCAGGAGGAAAGTCCAGATTCCAAATCCTAGCAGGGCTGCTTTTCCCCAATTGAATCTTTTATTCACTAAAATGTGGAGATTATACCATCCTGAGGGGTGGTCCACCCCTCAAACAGGTGTCTCTACCTCGGCAATGCTCACACTTGGGGCCACATCACTCTCTGTGTTGGGGTGTCCTGTGCTCACACTTGGGATCATGTCACTCTCCATGTTGGGGTGTTCTGTGCTCACACTTGAGGCCAAGTCACTCTCCGTGTTGGGGTGTCCTGTGCTCACACTTAGAGCCACATTACTCTCCGTGTCAGGGCTCCTGTGCTCACACTTGAGGCCGAGTCACTCTCTGTGCTGGGACATCCTGTGCTCACACTTGGGGCCGGGTCACTCTCCGTGTTGGGGTGTCCTGTGCTCACACTTG